CTTTTTATTTGTGGTTTGCCTTTCCATTTTAAAGATGTCTGTTGAAGAGCAGAAGTTATTCTCCTTAACATACTTCAGTTTGTCCAATCTTCCTGTACAATTAGTGTTTTTGTGTCCTGTTAAAGATATCACACAACTATTTATTGAGCACATATTATGTCTGGCGGAGAAGGCAATGGCAACCCACTCCAGTACCGTTGGCCTGGAAGCTCACATGGACGGAGGAGCCTGGTAGGCTGCATGTGGTAGGCTGCATGTAGCGACCATGGGGTCGCTAAGAGTCGGACTTCACTTTCACTTTTCACTTTCATGCATTGGAGAACGAAATGGCAACCCACTTCAGTGTTCTTGCCTGGAGAATCCCAGGGACGGGGGAGCCTGGTGGGCCGCGGTCTATGGGGTCGCACAGAGTCGGACACGACTGAAGTGACTTAGCAGCAGCAACTGCTCCAGGAATCTGGATGGGAAGTCTAAACTCGGCTTTCAGGAAGCTTTCCGCCGCAAACACTTGCACGCATGCGTGACGCAATTCTGTGCTTCCGCCTGCTTCGGCTATTCCTCTAGAGGGTAACTTACTGTGATGCTAGTGCCATCCGGGGCTTCAGGACCCTTACTTGTTCAGAACTTTTTCAAGATCCTGCACGTTATGCTTTAGTAGTTCTATACTTTTCCAAAATAGGGTGCCCCAAATCGTATGAACCTCAGGCTCCATAAAACCTGGATCCACCTCATTATAACAGAAAATTCGAAGCCACAAAGACTCTCATCAGTTGAGTGATGGCTGAGTAAATTTCTCCCTGGAGCTATCCTTGATTGTAGAAAGAGCAAAGTCTCCACTCGGGGTAGAATCATGGACTCAGCATGGACTAGGGGACTCCCCTGGTGGTCCAGTGGCTAAGACTCAGAGCTCCCAATGCAGGGGCCCTGGGCTCGATCTCTGGTCAGGGAACTAGGTTCCACGTGCCACAACTATGAGTTTGCATGCCGCAACTAAATATCCCGCGTGCCACAACTAATACTCGGTGCAGCCAAAGTAAATAAATAAAAATAGATATTTAAAAAAAAAGAAAATGGACTCAGGAGCCAAACGATCTAGATTCAAATCCTAGCCTTGCTACATACTTGCTTTGCAACCTTGGACAGGTTACCCGACCTCTCTGGGCATCAGCTGCTCCATCTGCAAAATGGAGGGTAAGGAGAATATCTTTTTTGCTGGATTGTTTCAAAGATTAAGTGCATCCAAAAAGATTAAGTGAATCCATACATGTTATATAAAATGCTTAGAACAGGGCCTGGCACATAATAAGCATTATTTGGGTGTTTGCAATTACACCAAAGTGCATGCAACTTCACTTGGGATTTGGAGAGAAATACAGTGGTTCAAAAGCTTCCCAGGTGTCACTAGTGGTAAAGAATCCACCTGCCAATGCAGGAGATGTAAGAGACACTGGTTTGATCCCTGGGTTGGGAAGATCTCTGGAGGAGGGCATGGCCACCCACTCTAGTGTTCTTACCTGGAGAATCCCATGGACAGAGGAGCCTGGTGGGCTACAGTCCATGGGGTAACAAAGATTTGGACACGACTGAAACGACTTAGCATGCATGCACAGGCACAGATGGTTCAAGGAGAGGAAATTCTGCAATCGGTGCTCAAGACTTCTGACAAATGCTCTTATGACCCAGTGCTTGTACTCTTGGGAATGTACCCTAAGGAAATGGCCAGGAGTTTGGGGAAAAACATAAGGAAGAGGCAAGTGCAAGGCAGGTCCATCAGAGCGCTGCGTAGGACAGAAGGAATCATGGTCATGGTCGTGGGGGAGGGAGGCCTCTGTGTCCACTAACCCAGGGGTCAGACGCACCTGTCAAAACTGGAGTGTGTCTATGTTTGGATGCTTTGTGCAGAAAGCATGTAGGCTCTGCCCCCATTCACAATGGGATTCATCAAACTAACCTCATGCTCAAAGCCTCTTGGGTGGGGCATTCCAGAGGACTTTTTCCCCCCTTCTTATTACTTTTTCCAGCTTTTCTAAATTTTATATAATGCAGAAAACTTAAAAAAAAAAGAATTTCTTCAAAAAAAGAATATGCAAAGATGTTTTCGATTATGTTATTGGAAGAAAAAAAGACCAGAAACAGCCCAGAACTGGAATAGGAAATAGGTTTTTTACAATAATTCAAATGGCACACCAAACAAAGTGATGTTTCACAGCTTCCAGCAAATTTAATTTAGAAAGAATTTAGAATGACCCAGAGAAATACTCATGATTAGCTACAGAGAAGAATTAAATGAAGAGGACACACGATGACATCCACCCAGTAAAAACACTTGGGCTCACATAGAAGACTCACAACATGTCCTCTTCTCCCAGGGTCCCCCTACACACACGCACACACACTCACAACTGCTTTGGTCAAGGTCAGTGGTGACCTCAGTGGTTAGTCTTTGGTCTTCATCTAGGTCGTCCTCATTTTAATAATAATCAGCAGCCAATGGCTCACTCCTTTTTTCCCAGGACTAACCTCCTTTTCGGAGAAAGCAATGACACCCCACTCCAGTACTCTTGCCTGGAAAATCCATGGACGGTGGAGCCTGGTAGGCTGCGGTCCATGGGGTTGCTAAGAGTAGGACACGACTGAGCGACTTCACTTTTACTTTTCACTTTCCTGCATTGCAGAAGGAAATGGCAACCGACTCCAGTATTCTTGCCTGGAGAATCCCAGGGACGGGGGAGCCTGGTGGGCTGCCATCTATGGGGTCAGACACGACTGAAGCGAGTTAGCAGCAGCAGTAGCAGCAACCTCTTTTTCCCACTCCTATCGCCAAAGCAACCATCTTCTCTGGGAGCAAATGCCTTCTGCCATTTCCCCACCTGCCACGAGCCAAGGATTCAGCACTTTGATATCTTCAGGTGCCATGTAGAAATTGGGTGGCACTCTCACTTCTAAAAAGTCTGGCCCTGGGACTTCCCTGGTGGTGCAGTGTTGAACATGCCACACTCCCAACACAAGGGATCTGGACTCAATCCCTGATTGGGGAACTAGATTGCACATGCTGCAACTAGAGACGGCTGTGCACTGCAAAAAAAGACTGGCCCTATTTCCCCAGATCCTTTCCCCACGTCCCTGCCCTGGCCATCACCCCCGAAACCCACAGGAGAAACCTTCCTTGTCTCGCCCAGCTTCTGGTGATTTGCTGACGATCTCTGGGATTCCTTGGCTTGTATCTACACCACTGCAGTCCTCCATCTTCACATGACTGTCTTTTCCTTCTGGAGTGTCTGTCCTGTCCAAATGTTCCCTTTTAATAAGCAACATTTTTATAAGGAACATATTAACAGTCATGTTGGATTAAGGCCCACCCTCCATGACCTCATCTGAACTTGACCATCTGCTAAGACTCTTTCTAAATGAGGTCACGTTCACAGGTGAGGATTTCAGTATATTTCTTTGGGGGACAGAATTCCACTCATAACACCCCCCGTCCACTTTCCAGGTCACAGCCTGAGGGGCAAATTGCAAGCCCAATTCTGTCATTTCTCTGCTCTACATTCTTCCAAGACAGTGGAATATTATCAGCCAGGATCCGGAGGAACCTTGAAAATACTATGTTGAGTGAAAGAAGGGAGACACAAAAGACTTCATGTAGTATAATTTCATGTATAATCAAAAGATTCACATTGATTATATTTTACTTAATAAGAAATGTCCAGAACAAGCAAATCCATAGAGTCAGAGAAGGGATTGGTGGTTGACTGAGACTGGGCGTTGGGATGGGGAATCGAAAGTGAGTGCTAAGTGATTCAGAGTTTATTTAGGGAGTGATGAAAATGTTCTAGAATCGACTGTGGTGAGGGAAGCACAACTCTGTGAAGACACCAAAGGCAGTGGACTATACACTTTAAATCGGTGAATTTTAGAGTAAGTGAATTATATCTCAATAAAGCCTTCCAGGTGGCGCTAGTGGTAAAGAACACGCCTGCCAATGCAGGAGACATAAGAAACGTGGGTTCGAGCTCTGGGTCGGAGAGATCCCCTGGAAAAGGGCATGGCAATCCACTCTGGTATTCTTGCCCGGAGAATCCCATGGACAGAAGAGCCTGGTGGGCTACAGTCCATAGGGTCGCACAGAGTCGGACACTATTGAAGCGACTTAGCAGGCACAAGTCTGTCATTTTTCTGGCTCCCCAGCGCCCTCTGGAGGAAGCCCTGACTCATTGCCTGGTCCTACATTCTAATGCGTACGCGCACGACCACCCGACACTGCTGTGGCCACGAAGCTCACAAGAGGCTACAAAGCCGCGCACACAGAGAAATTGCTGTGTACAAGGAGGCCCCCAGTTATAAAGACTCGCTTGGCCACAGGATCCCACCCAGACATATTCCCAGACACAACTATGGACCGTACCAGGTAGCCCCGTGGCCTCCTCCACCATCCCAGTCAGACACCAAGGCGGGCATTCTGCCAGCTGTTGAGAACGTGTATCTCAATTGTGCATTCCAGAATCGAGCGAGTTATCACACGATGAATTCGGGGACGCCCTGGGCCACGGTGAGGGTCTGAGCAGAATAAAAACTGATCACCTGAGATGCACGAGCCCCCTCTGACTGATGAGCACGGTGACAGTTGAGGTCTTCAGAAATCAGCGTTAGTTCAGATCCCAGTATCTGGCAGTCCCTGAAAGTCTGATTATTTCTTTTCCCCAAGTGTACAGTGACCCTGGTCAAAAGTTGTTAGTCCCTTTGGGGAAAACTGGTAAAAAGACTAACAGTATGAATTTGGGTCAGAGTACTGGGGTCCTTCCTTGAGAGGCTCTGGTCTCCCCTCATTCAAGGAGTCCTGGATCTGTGACCTGGGGATTGATGGAGGGGCCGTGATTACCCGGTTTTAGGATTCGGGTTAGACTTTGTTTCACTAAACCTAGACCTCTCCCACGCATACAGACCAAGTAAGAACTCAGTGGACGGGGCATCTATTTTCCCCTTAGGAGCGTGAAAATCAACTACCAGGGCCTCTTCTGATCGCCGTTTGCGGGGCTGTCCCTCGTGGTGACCACGCCCACACGCGACAGCCACTCCCACACGCGACGGCCACGCCCACACGCGGTGGTCACGCCCACGTGGCCTTTGGCTGCTCCGTACCACGTCTTGGTCCCAGCCGCCCGGATCCGGTGATTCCCCACGGCATTTAAGTTGCCCAGTTCAGGGGCGGCCACCACGAGGTGTGGTCTGCAGAGAAGAGCTGCGGTGGGGACACAGCCAAGGCTATGAACACAGGCAAGGTGGTCCCCAGTTACAAAGACACACCGTGCCCCACAATCCCACCCAGAGGCTCGTAGTCATGGACACACGCTCACAGGGAGGCATACAGCCTATACCGAGGGACAGCGTGACAGCCACGGCCACCACGCAGCCCTTCGTCAGTGACATACATCCCTTTCAGGAACAGGCTCGGAGGCGGCCGCAGTCCTGGTGGCGGCCGCTACACCAGCAGCCACGCACATACACACAACACCACCGGGTCCTACTACCGCCCAGCATGCAGGCCACCCCGTAGACCCGTTAGAGTCTCCACCTCCCTGGGCCCGCTCCACTCAGCAACACCCACCCACTGCACGGGATGCCCCAGAAAGCAGGGTTCAGCTGGTTCCTCACCCCAGGAAGTGGGGGAGGTATTTTTAGTTACAATTAACCTCCCGTCCAATTTCTCTTCTCCCCCCTGGCACATTCAATTGGTTTAATTAGAGAGGATTAAATGAAAGGCATTTCCAGTCGGTGCTGGAGAAGGTGGAGGAGGAGGAGAGAGGAGCTTCCCCTCCCCACTTGCCAACCTCCCAAGCTGCCCCCTTGCCAGCCAGGCCAGGTCACACCAATGTGAGAGCTTCCCCTGCAGGTGCTCTCAGATGTTGGCCCAGCCCTGTCCCCTCCCTTTAATCCTCGTGTGTGTGTGTGTGTGTGCTGAGATACGACTTCTCTGACTCTTGGCGATCCTATGGGCCAGGCTCCTCTGTCCAGGGATTCTCCAGGCAATACTACTGGAGTGGGTAGCCATTCCCTTCTCCAGGGGATCTTCCCGACCCAGGGATCAAACCCAAGTCTCCCTCATTGCAGGCAGTCTTTACTATCTGAGCCACCAGGGAAGCCACTGTAAGTCCTTCTTGCTGACTAGCTCTCATCCATCCCATTTCAGTCCCCGAAAGTTTGGGGAGAGACAAACTCTAATCACAGTCACTAGAACAATATCTGACTCAGAAAGCAGTTTGTGGTAGGCCCTTTAAAAATCATGGACTCTTAGGATTATTATTTTTTTTAATAAGAGGCTGTGAAGCAAGTGGTTAGTGCACATGCTTCTGAGCTGCCAGGCTGCGTGGGTTTGAATGGCTACCTCCACTCTCCAGCTCTGTGATCTCAGGTGAACGATTTCGCCTCTCTGGGCCTGTTTCCTCATCTGGGAATTGGGGTCAGTGATCACACCTCCTCCTGGGGCTTAGTGTAAGGGTTTACTGGGTTGGTAGATATAAAGCTCCTAGAACAGAGTCTTTGGTTGTTTTAGTCGCTCAGTCATGTCCAATTCTCTGTGACTCCATGAACTGTAGCCCACCAGGTCCTCCGTCCATGGGATTTCCCAGGCAAGAATACTGGAGTGGGTTGCCATTTCCTTCTCCAAGGGATCTTCCCAATCCAGGGATCAAACCCACGTCTCCTGCACTGCAAGCAGTTTCAGGTAAATCAATATATAAAAGAAGCATTGGCACTCCACATCCCTACCCTGCTCTGCTTCTTAAGACACCATCAACTTCTAACAGACTAAATGATGTGTTCATCATGGGTCTTCCCCACTAGGATGTCCACCCCCGCCCCAGGGCTGGGTCTCTGCCTTTTTCACTGATGAGCAGAGGGTGAGTGCCCAGGATATGCCTGCGGCCAGGAGGAATGAATGATGAGGAAATGCAGCTGAGTCTCAGAACTACAGAATTGCTTTCTCTGCTCTCCACCTGTTTCCCAGGCACCTGCTGGGTGTAAGGTGCTGTCTGATGTCCCAGGTCACTGCAGTGACTGAGAAAAACAAACTCTTGCCTTCTGGAAGGGCTGAGATTCCAGCCAATAAGTGTTAGTCATGCAGTCGTGTCTGACTCTTTGCGATCCCATAGACTGTAGCTGGCCAGGTTCTTCTGTCCATGGGATTCTCCAGGCAAAAATACTGGGGTGGGTTGCCATTCCCTTCTCCAGGGCATCTTCCTGACCCAGGGATTGAACCCAGGTCTCCTGCATTGCAAGCAGATTCTTTACCAGCTGAGCCACCAGGGAAACCCCTAAGGAGATGGGCAAATAGGTGATGGAGAGAGTTCCAGGGAGGGGCTGACAGCGGGCAGGGAAGGAGGTGGTGAGAGAGAGTGGTGAATGGAAGGGGGTCCTTTGCTTTGGCTGTTCGTGTGTCTTTGGAGAGGTGACCTGTGAACTGCGAGGGTGTCCCAGGCACAGGGAAGAGCCAGGACAGATGCCCCGAACGGGGACAGAGTTGGTCATTTACCACAAACAAGGTCCAGACCTAAGCATCTTAGAATCCACACTGGTGTCTTGGGAACAAACGCAGGATCATCAGACCCCAGAGTCAATAGCAACTGATGTTCAGATGAGGGGAGCTCCCAGGTGGCACTGGTGGAAGAACCCGCCTGCCAGTGCAAGAGGTATAAGAGATGCAAGTTTGATCCCTGGGTCAGAAAGATCCCCTGGAGCAGGGCATGGCAACCCACTCCAGTATTCTTGCCTGGAGAATCCCATGGACAGGGAGCCTGGTGGGCTATAGTCCATAGCATCGCAAAAGAGTTGGACACGACTGAAGCACGTTTGGATGAGGCACGTTTGACCCATGACCACCTCATCCGGGGCTGAGTGGCTCTCCCTGGAGCTGGGCAGCGAGTGGGCAGAAGACATCTGCTGAGCGAATGAATAAATGAATGAACAAAATCTCCTTTTACAGTCTTAGGAGTTGGGTCTCCCAGGTCATGAAATCAGGCCCGGGAACTCTGCCAGGCCCCTTCACACCAGCCATCTTGGGCCCAACGCAGCCTTGGACAGAGAAGACCTGGGGTCCCGAGCCTCAGTTTCCTTGTTTGCCCAGTGCAGCTTCTTAGGAGATGTGTGTGTTGGGGGGGTGGTGTTGGAGGAGGCTGTGAGGATCTCCATGCATCTCCAAGCCCGTCTGAGATGTCCGAGTGTGTGTTGCATGGCTGGTAAGTATCAGAGTGGGGATTTGAACCCAGAAATGGTGGGCTGGAGTCTGGATTCATGACCTCCCTGCTGTCTGGCTGTTTCCAAGGAGAGTTCTGGGCGACTCTGTTTCTGGAACTTTGCCTGGGTCACCAGCGAAGCCACCTGCTTGACTGTGTGTGTGTCAGTCTCTGCCCCAGTCCTGTGGGCACCCCTCCCACAGGTGTGACATGTGAGTCTGGGAGAGTGTGAACACTGGCGCGTGTAAGCACAAGTGTGAACCAACTTGTATGTGTGTGTGAGTGGGAGCTTTGTTGTGTGAGTGTGTGTGTGAAAACCCATATGTAGGTGGCTGATCTGTGGCTGTTCCTTGAGTTCCCCAGCGCACATGTGTGTGTATTTCCACACATCTCCGCATGTTTCTGAATGTACTCAACCTTCCAGGGGGTGGGTGAGCAGGCAGATGCCCCTCCCCCTAGGGAGATAGGTCACCGAAACACAGAAAGAAAGGAGGCAGAGAGCTCAGAGGAGGGGGTCGGGGTGGGGAGATAGAAACTGAAAAAGATGCAGAGAGAGCAAAACAGAGTGAGAGGAACAGAGCTAGAGAGGCACCGCCTTGTCTGTCTTCGCTGGGGAAATAGCTCTGGTATGCCAAGAAGCCCAGCTGGCTCAGCCTGCCCATCAGCAGATGAGTTTCTTCAGTTACAAATAACACCCTCTGCCTTTGGTGAGCATAAACAACCTGCCAGCATAAACAAGAGTCATTCTGAGCTCTTCCCTCGGAAAACCTCCATGAACCAGCACAGCCATCCTATCAGGTAGATAACTGCTACCACTCCCGTTTTCCAGATATGGACACTGAGACCCAGCGAGGTGAAGCCACTTGCTCAATGTACCACAGCCATTATGTTGCAGAGGCAGGATTTGAACCCACAGTGGTCAGCACCGCTCTCAGTGGGCGAGGCTCTTCACCTCCCAGCCTGTTCGTCCCCCACGGGGCAGATGGAGAAAGCCATCTGTGGGCCACCAGGTGGGAGGTGGACGCAACAGTCCTTCATCCCTCCTCTAGCCACATCTCTTTCGATTTGAGTTTGCAGCTCCCCACACACTCCCAGGACGGGGTGGAGTGTATTTTTCTTCCTTTGAATCTGGGCTGGCCTTCAGATTTCTGGGGGTCAAGGGAAGATAGTGGAGACAAAGATGGACCAGATCTGAGTCAGGGCCTCAAGAGGCCGTGGGCCCCTCTGTTCTTTCTTAGGGCCCAACCAAGCCTGTATTCAAAGTGAACAAACCAAACAGCCTGCTGGTCTATGCCACCATGCAGCCCAGTCACTCCTGTGGTCCCCGCTGCCTACCAGCAGAGCCTCCTTGCTGACCCATGACTACCCACAGATACACAAGAGAGCCCTGTTGAAGCCTCCAGAACTGCCCAGAGGAGCCTAGTACACTAACCCATAGAAAAACGAGCTAAAAATGAATTGGCCTTTTGAATCATGAAGCTTTGGTGTGATCCGTTACACGGTGATAGCTAACTGATACATACAGAGGGTCTGCGGAGAGAGCAGGGTACAGACTGTCAATTATTGTTATAACTAGTAACTCATGAGCTTCAAACTATGAGAATTTGAATCCTGGAAGAGACCCACAAACTCAGATTGGTGGCTTTTTAAGACTTTATCATTTAAAAAAAAAGAGAGAGAGAGAGAGAAGATAACAGAAGAGGGAGGTAGGGGGAGAGGGGAAAGAGGCTGGTGGGCTGGGAGGATGACGGGAACCTCCCCAAATGTCAGATCCAAGTGACCTTCCTTCCCTGATGGCCCCAGCCTACCCCCAATCCCTTCTCTGTTCTGGGGGTCGGGGGGTCCCCAGCCACCATCTTCTGTAGACCCAGGTCTGGGATCTCAGCTTGGGTTTTGGGCAGAGGTGAGGGCACAAGTGGGGTGCAGGGCCAGAAGGCCTTGTCTTTGTCCTTGAGAGACCCTCGAGTGGGCACTCAGGCCCCTCATGTCACAGTAGGGTCCCAGGGAGGTAGGCGTTGAGTTGGGGGGGCCGTAGGAGGTGGGCCAGGTGGTAACCGGAAGCAGGTAAGAGCCTGAAGCAGTCACAGTCCAGAGGGTGGGGTCTGTGAAGAGGAGAGGAGAGAAGCCAAGTCAGGAGGCAGGGAGGGGTCTGGACCTATATCAGGCCTTCTGTGCCGTCCCCATCACCCCTAGAGGGAGAGGGACACAGAGAGAGAGAAAGAGGCAGAGAATCGGTACAGACATGGAAGAGGCAGAGAGACAGAGAGGAAAAAATAAAAAGACGAGGAGAAAGTCAAGATAAAGAAAGCGATAAAGACAGGCGAGAGGGATGGGCAGAGCAGGACAGAAGAGAGACATGGAGATAATCAGACATGGAGATGTGGAAAGAGAAAGAGTGAGAGAAACAGAAATGAAGAGAAAGACAAAGGCAAAGGCAAGGGATGGGGAGAGAGAGAAACAAGTGGAGAGAGGTCGCAGGAGAAAAGGCAACTTCCTGGGGCAGTGGGAGGAGATGCTCCCTCCATCACTGCTGTCCCAGAGGTCCCCTAGGACCAGGGCCCGCCTGTCCATGGTTGGTCAGGGCAGAGCTGAGATGCCCATGGACCCACCAGGCCCTGCACAAACCTGTCCATCTCTCTTCCTAGGCTCAAGCTTCCAGAGTCCTCCATGTGTCAGCCCTCGTGGGTCTCCACTCTCATCTCCCAGCCTTTCTACGGGCCCTGAGTTCATTACTCACCCATTTGACCCAGTCCTTTTTTATGTGGGGTTTGGAGGGGGAAGAGGGGTATGGCCCAAAGGACTGTCTCATAGCCTTTGCATATACTGTTCCTTCCTTTCCTGTCTCACTCCTCTTATTCTCCTGGTCTCAGTTCCAAAGTCCCCTCCTCCAGGAAGTCCTCCCTGAACCTCCCAGCCTGGGTGGAATGCCCCCTCCGGGCTCTTCCAGTTCCTAGGTTCCCTCCTTCCAGCCCTGCTTACTGTAGGTTGTTACCGTCTAGGGACGGGCCTGTCTGGGCTGTGAGTTGCCCAGGCGCAGGGCTGGGGTGGTACAGTCACTGCTGTGTCCCCGCACCACCCAGCACAGAGCTGGGCACTCTGCTCTGGGTGGGCTCACTATGGGAGTCTGAAGGTCTTACAAAGGGTTGGGAGTAGCATAACCCCCAACCCAATGTCCCTAGGCCTAGAACACTCACATTTCTCCTGACTTCAGCCTCTATAGATAATGCCACTCTCCTTCTAAGTTCAAACTCATCCCCATTGATCCTGGAAGACAAAAGTGGGGTATTAGTGGGTGTTCACCAGACACTTCCATATGCCCCCCCTCCCCCTTCTTTCCTGAAGGGAATCCTCTATCAAGACAAACTGAATCATCATTTAAGAGGGTGGTAGTGGTGGTGGTTTGGTCGCTAAGTCGTATCTGACTTTTGTGACCCTGTGGACTGTAGCCTGCCAGGCTTCTCTGTCTGTGGGGTTTTCCAGGCAAGAACACTGGAGTGGGTTGCCATTTCCTTCTCCAGAGGATCTTCCCAACACAGGGATTGAACCCGTGTCTCCTGCTGTAGCAGGTGGATTCTTTACTGCTGAGCCACCAGGGAAGGCCGTTTAAGAGGGTGCTGGTCCTTTAAGCAAAAATGGAACTTTCCACTGGATGGGTGAGGGAGGAAAACACCAGGAGCAGGAAACCCGTGTTTGCATCTCCAATTTCCCTCTTGTGCAAATGAAGCATTTCAACACCTGAATCCCAGAAGGAGGGGCATCATCTTGTTTAGGGGCAGGGCCTGGTGCCCTGGGGTGTGGCTTAGTTAAGGGGGTGGGGCCTTACCTGGCGGCCTGACGGTCACGTGTGACTGAGTTTCCGTGTAGCCCGCCATGGGCTGGCCCTCTGGGCTGAAGGCTGCACCCTGCCCTGTTGAGGGATGCAGGCTGAGCCCCAGGATGCCTGGTCCAGGCTTTGGCACTCCCCTAGAAACACGAGGCCCTCTGTCCCCACCTTCTCCCTGTACCTGTGCGGTTGGATTGATCGATCATTGGTTGCACGATGCGACGCCGGGCGTTAATGAACCTGGGAGGAGGTCATCGAAACGGAGGAGGGTGCCAAGAATGAGTAGAAGAGAGGCCGAAACGAACACAGAGACAGACAGCGAGTGGACTGGAGAAGACAGATCCTGGGGCCGCCCTTAGAAGAGAGGCTCCGAGGGGCTGCTCCTTCAGCACCGCGGACAGCGCCCGGCCGCCCACCCCGGGCGGGCCCACGGACCGCCCAAGCCTCCTGTGTCACTCACCAGTTGTTGACTTGCAGGATGGTGAGCCCCGTGTCCTGCGCCAGCTGCTTCTTCTGCTCCTCTGAGGGGTACGGGTGCTGTAGCCAGCAGCGAGAGTTACCCTGCTTGCCTGGCTGCCCTTTGATCCTCAAGGTCTGGCTGCCCAGGTTCCCCAGGGGGATTGGCAAGCCCAGGCTGGGGCAGGGCTGGGAGAGCCATCTTGTCTAAGCTTCTATGCTCCCGGGAGCCCAACGGAGGGAGGCAGAGCCAAGCTTTGGGCAATTACCCTGGCATCCCCGCCCCACCTCTTCCAGCAATTAGAGGCTAATTGGCCAACTCTCATTAGGGAGGTGGAGCAGGGGTCGGGGTGGGACTCCACCACCCTGGGGAAAGGAGGCAAAGTCCAGCACCAGCCCTTGATGAGTCCATTAGGTCCTTGTGTCTGTCTCTCCCCGTCCCAGTCTCTATCTTTCCCTGTGTCTGTCTGGCTGCCTGGCCCTCCCTCTCTGTGACTCAGTCTCCCCTTGTGTCTCTTTTGCTCTGATTCAGTGCTCCCTAAATCTCCCTGTCCCAATCTTCATTTCAGCCTCTCCTTGTCTATCTTCCTGTCTCTATTTTACCATCCCTCTTCGTGAGGCAGAGGGGTGCAGTGATTACAGCCAAACTGCCAGCATTTGAACCCACTTCGGGCTGTGAGACCTCAGTCTCCTCATCTGCAAAATGGAGCTAATAACATCCCTGCCCTAAGAGGGGTATGTTTAGCTAGATGGTGGATGATTGACAGGTGGGTGAATGGGCGGGTGGGTTGGAGGGGAGGACTGAATGAGTCAGGAGTCCTTAGTGGTACCCGGCACACAGGTGGCATCCACGGATGTTTGCTCTTGTCAATTTCCATCTGCTTGAGAGTCTCCCTCAATGTCCCCCTGCCTCAGCCTCCCATCTCCAGGTCTCAGTCCCATCCTGGCCCATTTCTCTGTCTGCCCACCCCATGCCCAGGGCCCCAGGGCTCTCACCGAGAGGTGCTGGAACAACCAGGCTCTCATGATGTTGGTGGCCACCTTGGGGAAGATCCCTCTCTTCTTGTTCCGCCGCCGCTCCTGGTCCAGCTCCTCGTCCTCTCCCCCAGAGCTGGGAGAGGCCACGCTGGTGTCCAGTCCATCTCCTGAATGGGGAGAGGGGTGCTATGCTTGTGGACAGGGAAGGTGGGGGGCCAGAGGGACCCAGAACCCCCCTCTGAGGCACCACTCCACACCCCAGTGATCCTTGCCCCTCTGGAAGTCCTACCTGCTGTCTAACTTCAGTCCTCAGCCCGACTCCCACCTTTCCCCTCTGCTTCTCCAGTTTCTCACCTTGGTCACTGGAGTTGTCCCCACTCTGGGAGGCCAGGCCCCCGCTGGATGGACCTGGGGTCCCCAAATGTACAGACCCGCTGTCTTCATGGTCTCTAATCCATGTTGTATTCTGGGAAATAGGAGCTGGAAGTCAGTGTCAAAGCTTGGGATGTAATATACTACAGTGACTAAGACCATGGATTCTGGAGCTAGGACTCCTGAGTGTGAAGCCTGTCTCTCTCTTTGCTGGCTGTGCGACCTTGGGCAAGTCACTTCAACTCTCTGTGCCTCAACTGGAAAAACAGAGAGCAATAACTGTCCAACCCACCCCCTCCCCAGAGTGTGGTAAGGATTCAATGAGTTAATTTACGTAAAGGCACATAGCAACCGTTTAATAAAGATGAGCTTGTACAGATCTCCCACACCTTATCTGAAATCCTTGGAAACCATCACTGTTGCAAAATTCAAAACTTTTCACATCGTTCAGCAGTAAAACCAGTGCACATGCCGTGTATTTCCTAACACCCACAGCAAGGTATGGGCATAACCTCGTCATCAAACTCATTAACATTTCTGCAGCGAAATGGATGAATACTTAACTAAGTGGAATAAATAAAGGCTATAAATAGCCTCTCATTAGTTCAGGTCAGATTTTGCTGCCAAATGAGTTTGCACTAAACTTACGGGGGGAAAAAAAACACCAGCTTTCAGTTTTCAGAGATTTGGGAGGCTCCAAATTACAGATCAGAGAGTCCAGGGCCATATTTTCTTTATCCAAACTCCTACACATTTTGAGGAATTTGACGATGCATTGAATTCACCTCAGTCCCAGCTTTGTGTCCCAGGAGGCCTACAGACTGGCATAGATACACCAAGAAGCATCAAGAAGCATCAAGACTTTGTCATTCAATTGTTGGGTGGCAGATTGGGTGAAAATGGGGGTGGAAACAGCCATAGGCTGTTGAGCCCCAGGGTGACCCCCTTCCCCTGTTGAATGTCCTAGACCCTACCCACCGCTTTGTAATCAGTCCCCCAGCCCTGCAAATAACCCAGAGTGGATGTATCATCTGTGTTCTGCCAGGGCTCAGCCTGAAACACTTGGTAGCTTAGAGAAGTTTCCTCTGGGCTCAGAACATCTGTGCAGAATTTAGAGTTTGTGGGCCTTGGGGATGGGTTGTGTGCAGACTGTAGGATCATTAGGTTTGAAGGCTTTTGAGCATTGTTGGAACTGTCACCCTCCCCTTCTGGTGCTGGATCCATTCGGATGCTGTGGGTGCATGCGTGTTAAGTCACTTCAGTCGTGTCTGACTCTTTGTGACTCTATGGACTGCAGTCCACCAGGCTCGTCTGTCTATGGGATTCTTCAGGCAAGAATACTGGTGTGGGTTGCCATACCCTCCTCCAGGGGATCTTCCCGACTCAGGAATTGAATCCGCATCTCTTATGTCTCCTGCATGGGCAGGCGGGTTCTTTACCACCAGCACCATCAGTACACCTGATGCTGTCCTGACTCTGCCATGCGGCAGGTAAGTGTGAACATGCTTATGTCCCTGCCCATTATGGCAAGGGCGTCCCTGGAGAGGAGGCATCTGTGATGTGGTTGTCACCTGGGCGGAGCTGAGACACGCAACAGTGTTTGAGCATGGTTGTGTCACTCTCGGAACTGGCCAAGTGGCTGTATCTGACAAGGGCAAGGTTATGTTTAGTTTTCTAAGCTCGTGGCTTTAGTTCTAAGGGTCGGGAGTGTGTGTGGTTATCCTGATTCCTGCATGAGCTGCCAGGCGACTCCATGATTCTCTGTGTGTGGAGGGAGGTGTCATGGCCATGGGAGCGTGTTGGTGGCTGAGTGAAGATATGGAATATGACTGTGCCTCCGAGGGAGTTGCAACAGATCAGCACACGCACAGGGTGTGCCACCGAGAGGGTGCATATTATGGGTTGTTGAGTTTCCCTTGTGGCTCAGCTGGTAAAGGATCCACCTGCAATGCAGGAGAAATAAGAGACGTGGGCTCGATCCCTGGGTTGAGAAGAGCCCCTGGAGAAGGGAAAGGCTACACACTCCAGTATTCTTGCCTGGAGAATCCCATGGACAGAGGAGCCTGGTGGGCTACAGTCCACAGGGTCACAAAGAGTCGGACACAACTGAAGTGACTTAGCACACACACTCATGGGCAGAGGCTCACCTGTGACTTCTGCCTGTGCATGCTCAAGTCCGTAGAGTTGTGGTGTGGCTGTGCGCCTGTATCTGGGGGCGGGTGTCGTGCTGTATAATTGTTGAGTGTGTTGACAGTGTGACTGCCTTGTGGGCGTGGGCCTCCTTGGGATCTGCATGGCTGTTGCGTGATTGTTACCTGGGTGCTCAAGTCTATGAAACTGTCGTCTGATGACATCTGAGACTGCATGGATCTGGAGCCACATGGTGTGTGCCCACACCAGCTGGAGTCCAACTGTTAGGGGATTGGGGTGACATGTGTGCAGGCACTGGGGTTGATCTGGGTCTAAGTGTGACTGCAGCTGAGTTTGTGTGGCAGGATCTGGGGCCATTTGGGTGGCTGTTGTGTGCCTGGGGTCTGTGCACTGCACACACACACACACACACACACACACACACACTCTAGAATGGCAGTATCTTGGTCAGGCTGTGAGATCTATGACCCTGTTATGTCGCTGCGCTGTGTGTGTTTAAGAATGCAGTGCATGTTATCACCTGGCTGTGAGTGTACTCATTTGTGTGGCTGTGTGTGAACCTGTGTGGGTGTAGCCCAGTTCACGGGGGGTATCTGCAGCTGTTGGGGGGTATGTGCATGCTTCCGTCCAGCTGTCCCACAGTCTGTACAGCTGTGGCATAGTGGGTGCATGTTCCAGGGGCAGGCTGTGACAGGCTGTGCCTGCCTGAGGCTGTGTCATGGTGTGCATGACCCACCCCCAGCTCTCTGGGCATGCCTTTGGTGGCAGGGCGGTGCCTGCTGCCCCATGCCAAGCCCACCTGGTCTGGGAGGCTGGGGCAGGAGGCCGGGTAATCGTCGAGGTCCTCTCTGCAGCTGCTGTCCCGATCCTCGATGACCAGGTCGATGGGCATCTTCCCCTTGAGGCAGGTGATGTAGCGGTGACAGAAGTTGTCGCACAGGTCGTGGACCTGAGGGGGCACCGGGGTACTGGGGGGGCCACCCAGGGGCCAGGGCTGGGGTGCACAGGGGTGGGGGTGGCCTTCTGCTCCAACTCTGGTAGGGAGAGAGCCTGAAGCAGGGGCAGAGGGGGCAAGAAGGGGAGGGATGGGAGGCAAGGGAGGGCGTGCGGGGGAGTGAGAAGCACTTACCTTCTCCAGCTCCAGTAGGTGGAAGCGGAGCACTTGAATGGCCTGTATCATCTGAAAACAGACAGAGGAGTGGGGAGAGGCAGGGAAGGAGGAAGGGAGACAGAAGGAGGAAGAGGAGGAGGTGAAAAAAAAGGAGCAGGAGAAGGCCAGGAGGAGGAGGAGGAGGAGGAACAGAGACAGATAAACAGAAACAGTGCATTGGATGAAAGAGAGAGAGGACAAAGAGAGCAAGAGGCAGAGAGAAATTGACAACAGAGAGAGACCCAGGATTAGGGGACGAGGCCGTGTGAGATTGAGATCGGAAATAAAGAAAGAGAAGCAAGAGGTGCAAGAGACAGAAGAGGACTCATCACAAGAGGGGTGAGCTAAGGTCAGCGCTAATAATAACACCCCATCCTTTGCCAGCTTGGCCTCTGATCTGGGTCCCACCCTTCACCTGAAAACTACATTTCCCAGAGCCCTTTGCCAAAGGGTTCAGCCAATAGGAAGCCCTGGTGGGAGCTAGACCAGGAAAGGAAGAGACAAGCTGGGGTATTTATCCCTCTATCTACCTCTCCTCTCCTCTCTTCTCTTTCTCTCCCTTGTCTCTCCTCTCCTCTCCTCTCTCCTTTGCAGCCAAGTGGTTTCATTTATTTGGGTGTGGACTCTGTTCCGCTGATAGAACTAGCTAACACTTAATGAGTCCCCAGTCTGTGCCAGGCATTGACTCAGTATATACCCAGAATGGGGCTTCCCAGGTGGTGCTAGTGGTAAAGAACCCTCCTGCCAATGCAGGAGATGTAAGAGATGTGGGTTCGCTCTCTGGGTCAGGAAAATCCCCTGGAGGAGGAAATCCTACCCACTCCAGTATTCTTGTCTGGAGAATTCCATGGACAGAGGAACCTGGTGAACTCCAGTCCATAGGGTCTCAAAGAGTCGGACACGACTGAAGTGACTTAACACGCACATACAATAGCCTTACACGATAGAAATTATTACTAGCTACACTTTACAGGTGAGGAAAAAGGGCCCAAGGAGGTAGACCTGCTTGCCCTGGATCTTAGAACTAGTAAGTATAGTTGGGATTTGAACTCAGGCCAGCGAGTCCCTGTTCACAAACTCTAAGCTATACTACACTGCACTGCAAATGGGCAAAAAGTATCACTATTTGAGGACGTGGGTCAGGTGGTCTCCTCTCTGCTCCCACAATCAACCCCAGGGCTATGGAGGGTGGAAGAGGAGACCCCCTTGGAGAAGGGGGTGTTGTGGAGGGCCCAGGTCTCACCAGATTGTCCAGCTCTGGGTTGGAGGAGAAGAGGGGCCTCTCGGAGCGGACCTGGGAGAAAGAGAGAGGCAGGGGAGGGCACATCCCGTCTCCTGCCCACGCCCCCCGCCACTTCACTGGCTCTCCTGGGACACCGCTGATGGTGGGCGCCCACCTGCTTGGCAAAGGCTGCAATGTCTTCATTGAAGGAATCGGAGGAGCAGACGTCACCGCCCGGGGGTGTGCCCAGCCCGGTCCCAGCCCCATCACGGGGAGAACACGTGGCCAATTCACATTTCTCAAAGACCAGGGCCAGCAGCGGGAAGAGCGGGTGGCTGGGGGAAGCAGGAGGAGAGGGGTTCTTGAGGGGTGGGCGGGGCGTGGGGTGGGGCAGGCAAGTATGGTGCAACCGGGAGGTGGACAGGAGACCCAGAGGAGAGAGGTGGAGAGACAGGCGCAGAAGGAGAGAAACATATCCAGAAAGACAAAGAAATGGGGTGGGGCGGGGGGCACATCCCGAGAGCCCTCAGCCTTGTCCCACTCACCCATAGATCTCATCTTTCTCCCTCCTCAGGCCGTCACTGTCCAAACCTGGGGGCTGGGGAGGCCGGTGGGGGCCATAGGGCCCGGGGGCTCTTGGTGCCGAGGACACCACCTCTGAGAAGCCAGCCAGGGCTGCGGTGCTGTCCACGATGCCGGGGTAGTGGGGCAGCTCATCATACTGGGGGGGAGGTGAGAGGGGAAGCCCCAGGGAGGTGTTGACACAACATGAAACCTCCCTACCCTCTCACCCAGGAGATGCCCCCGCCCTGTCCAGCCACCTGCCCTCCTGTCTGCATAGAGCTGTCTGGGTGGGACTGAAGGCCCCATTCTCAAGCTTTCGCTTGGACCCATGGGCTGTGAAAAATGTCCCATCAGAGATTCCTGATGTATGGGCAGGAGGGTCTAAGAGAGAGAGACTGACCCAAGTCTCAGATCTGAGGGTCGGGGGGTCAGATTGGCTGGTTGCTAACTGTCAGCTTCTCCCAGAGTGAGGAGGGGAGAGATATTCAGAGAGAAGGGGAGAGGAGAGAGACTGGGAGTGAAATGAAAGAGAGAGCGAAAGCTTAGAGAGAGGGAGAGAGACAGAGAGAGAAATGTTGGGAGAGGCAAAAAAAAAAGGCAAAGAGAAAAGAGATAAGGAGAGATGCAGAGACAGAGGAAAGAGTAGGGAGGGAGAGAGACACAGAGAGAAGATGCAGGAGAAACAGGGAAAGGGAGGTGGGCACTGAGAGGCAGAGGAGGGGAGAGAGAGGAGCAGGAGGGAGAGATTGATTTTTGCTCACGGACACTGCCTATCAAAGCAGTGCATTGTTTGTACACAAATGTACGCATACAGTCTCTCCGACTTCAATTTCATTTCACAGACCAATATGCACGTCTGAGTGCATCTTAACAACTTGTCACACTCCACTCCCCATGTGAACCCACCACACACACACACACACACACACACACACACACACACAGCCAAAAGCCAGGCTCAGGAATGAATGAATGAATGAATGAATGAATGAAGGCATCAGACATTTAGCACCGTGCCTGGCACACATTCAATACACACTTGTTGAAACCGAGTATAACCTGGCACAACCACACAAACCCACTTGTGCCGACCACCCCAACGAGAAGCCAAGCTTGAGGTTTCTCTCGCCTATCATCACAGGAGCAAACGCACCCAGGAAGCCAGGGAAACCTGAAGGTCCCTCCCTTTCCTTTGAGGGAGAAACAGGTTCAAAGAGGCGGAGGGCCTGGAGAGGGGGGAGTTCCAGCGTTCCTGCCATAGCGGAGGGCTCTGAGTGTGTCTCTGCCCTTTTCTCCTAACTTCTCCTGAGTCCTGAAGTTGAATCCAACTGCCCCCCACTGCTCATCGGCGCACATCTTAGCACGTCCCGGAATCCTGTGGTGTTCCTGCTCCCCCCACCCCCCACCTCCACCTCCAAACGTGCGTGCTCACCTCTTGGCTGACTTCTCATTCCCCAGGACCAGGAGAGACAGAATCCCTTGGCCCTGCCTGGCCAGACCCACCTCCCCAGCCCTGTCCCCACCCCTAACCCTCAGGGAGGACTTGGAACAAAAGTAGACCTGGGAGAAGGATGGGGGAGGGCAGAAAGAGAAAGGGCCTGGGATGGAGGGGGAGACCAGGGGCAGAGAAGGGGAGACTGAGGGGCAGGGAGAGGGGAGGAAAGAGACGGCGGAGGGAGCGCGATGGGCTGAAGGGGGTCACAGCTCCCCAGGGAGGCGATGGAAGGATGGGAAGGGGGTTGGGGGTGCGACGACCGACCGGGGCGCAAGATCGCCCGCCCTCACACCTACCCTCCGGGCCATGGGCTGATGCCGGCGGCAGCTCCCGGGTCCCTCCAGGGCCTGGCCGGCGGGGAGGGCGCAGCCGGGGGCAGTGGCCCCAGATGGCCCGCGGTGCCGACGCCAGGGGGTGGGGCAGGAGGCTGGGTGCCCGGCCCCCCCACCCCCACCGCTGTCAGCGGCAGGCGCCCGGCAGTGCGGAGGCTCCGAGCATGGACCCCCAGCCTCCTGACCCCGCGGGGGTCACGGCGAGGAAAGGGGCGAGCAGGAGAGGAAGGGCCGCCCGAGGCCCCCTCCCTGGGGCCCCCAGCCCCTCCCCCGGGTCCTGGGAGGAGGGAACCAGCCCGAGACCCGGGGACCGCGAGGCGGGGGACAGAGGGGCGCGGGGGGGTCGGGCCCGGGGCGGCGGGGGGCGCGCGGCGGCTCCCAGCGCGGTGCGGGGTCCCGGCGTTGGCGGGCCGGAGAGATGCTGGCGGCTCCGTCTCGCTCTCTCCCCCTCTCCCGGTCTCTCCCTCTCTCTGTGGTCACATCCGGAAGTTCCACAGCGGAGATGCTTAACCCGCTGTCCGCCGGCGGCTCGGCCGCGGGCCGGGCGGCGCGGGGCGGGGCGGGGCGGGGGCGTCCGGGGCCCTCTCCCCTCCCCTCCCCTCCCCCTCCGCGCTCCCCGAGGCTGCGGCCGCTTTCAGGGGCGGATTTTTGTTTGGGAGGCTCTGCGCGTCTGGTCCGCCCGGGTCCCCACCCCTCCGGCCTCACTCTCTCCGCGTCTCCCCGTCTCCCCCCACCGCGCTCGGGTCTTCTCCGCCTTCTCCCCCTCCCGGCCGCCCCAGGTCCTTGTCGGTCTCTCTCTCTCTCTCCCCCTTTCCACCCTTCCCCGGCTCACTCTCTCCATCTCTCCCTGCTTCACTCTTTTCCTCTAGATCTTCAAGTCTCTCTGTCTCCCCCCTCCCTTTTCCCCCCTCTTTTTCTGTTTTTCCTCTTTGTGTCTCTGTCTCTCGCTGTGTCTCTCCCTTTCTCTCTCCCATCTCTGCCCCCCACATCTGTGCCTCTCTCCTGACCCCCAGACTCCCAGAGGCCCTCTGATCAGCCCTTCTTGCGCCTCACCTTTGCTTGCTCTTTCTCCCTGTCTGTCTGTCTCTGACTGTGAGACAGATCAGAGGAGAACCTGAGGCTGGAAGTCACCAAACCCCTTTTTCTACTTTCTCTTCTTGCTCCAGACCACCCCTCCCCACTCTCCAACTTCCCACCTCAGGGAGACAGGGACATCCCTGAAGTCATCTGTGTGTGTGTGTGTCCTTGGCTGTGTCTGTCTGTGTGCCCGATTGTTGGTTCATGCCTGTTGTGGGTGTGTTGTTTCTGTGTATGAATATGGTGAGTTTGGGTTGTTTAAGTCTATGTGCCTAGAAACCTCACTCTGTCCCTCTGCCCACTTTTGACCTCTGCCTTTTGCAAGTTTCTTAGCCTGTATCCTCCTCAGCAGTTCTCAGAAGTTTGTGATGGAATCTCTGAAACTGAAGGTTAAGATGTGGTTGGTTGCACATCCACTGGAGATCAAAGGATTCCCAGAGGAGCCTGGAACCCAGGCAGCCTTTGAAACTGGTATTCTAGTGAAATAAAGAAGGTGTCTGCAACAGAAGTTTATTGAGCACCTACTGTGTGCTGGGTGATGTTATGGAGATGTCACAGGGAGCAAAAGACAACCTTTCCTGGCCTCCAGGTGCTCACATGCTACTGGGGATTGTGTGAGGGAGAAAAGAGTCAGGTAAATAAATGTGTAAGTATAAAATCACACTTGGAGGTGATAAGTGCCCTGAGATGAAGCAGAATAAAGACAGGGAGATGACAAAAGCTGGATAGGCAAGTTCTCAGGGGAGGTGTCATCTGAGCGGAAACCTGAAGAAGGGGATGGAGGAAGCTATGCAGGTGTTTGCCTATCGGGCCAGGCAGAGGAATGGCAGGTGCAAAGGACCTGGGACAGGAATGTTTTTGAGGCCAGCAGGAGGGGGCATGGAATTGGGGGGAGGGAGAGCAAGACCCCTGGGATTCATTCTCTCATTGGCTTTTTCTACAGTAGGGTCTTTGGAAAACAAAGAAACAAAAAGATGGCATGTGTTTTGTTTGTTAATTTTTAAAATTGATTTATTTTTGCCTGTGCCGGGTCTTCATTGCCGTGTGCAGGCTTCTCATTACAGTGGCTTCTCTTGCTGTGGAATGTGGGCCCAGTAGTTACAGCACACTGGCTCAGTAGTTGGGGCTCATGGGCTTGGGTGCTCCACAACATGTGGAATCTTCCTGGACCAGGGATTGAACTGCACTGGTAGGCAGATTCTTTGCCACTAGACCACCGGGGAAGTCCTCACATGTGTTTCTTCTTAATTTTTAAAAATTCATTTTATTGTTGGCTGTACTGAGTCTTCACTGCTGCGTGCAGGCTTTCTCTAGTTGCAGCGAGCAGGGCTGACTTTCCAGTTGTGCTGCCTGGGCTTCTGACCGCAGTGGCCTCTCTAGTTGCGTGGTACGAGCTCCAGAGCACAGGCTCAATAGTTGTGGTGCGTGGACTTAGTTGCTCCTTGGCATGTAGGATCTTCCCAGACCAGGGATCGAACCGGCATCCCCTGCATTGCAAGGTGGATTCTTAACCCCTGAACCACTAGGGAAGCCCTTCAGTAGGATCTTTATCCTCTGGTGACCTCAGATCCTCAAGGGGATGTGTAAGTGTGTATCAGGAGGCCTGTGCACTCCCTCAAGTCTTCCTGGCCAAGTATGGACCTGGTGCCTATGTGATTTTACAGGAAGAAGGCTCATAGTTTTCAACCTATGATCAAAAAGGATGCTTGACCCCCAACAGCTAGAAACCATCACCCCAGAGGAAGAACTCTAAAAAGAAATGAGGCAGAGATCCAGAGAGAAGGGGACAGAAGTTGGAGGAGACGAAGACCCAGGGAAAGGAGGGACAGAGGTGGGCAGGTTGAGTCTCAGAGAGAGAGGAGGAGGCTGAGAGGGCTGGCTGGAGACCATACCCCCACCCCTGCTGGGCTCTCTAAGGATATTTTTATGACCCTCATAAACAGCTCCATCTCTGCCACACCCTGCTGCTCCCTCCTCTTGTGGAAATTAAACAAAACCACCCAGGCCCCGGGAAGGGGGCGAGACCGCTGGAGTTACAGCAAGAAGGACTGAGGTTAGGACAGCAGCAGCACCTCTCGGAGAAGGAGGGCGTGTTGGAGGGCTGTGGGGGAGGGCCAGGGTGATGGCGCCGGTCCCCCCAACCTCAGGAAGGTCCCTTCTCATCCTATGGGAATGACGGCTCAGCTTCACATCCACTCGACCCACCCCCTTGCCTCTGTCTCATCCAGGAGGACTGTCCCTGTCTTTCTCTGTGTCCCTGACTCTTGTCCTGTGACCCCCCCTCCTCGGCACACCATCAGCCTGCCTCCCTGGCCATCTCTGGGTCTCCTCCAAGGATCTGGGGTCGAGACCCACCTCAGATCAGCTCTTCCCTTTTTAAGCCTCAATTTCCCCGTCAGCTGAATGAGACAGGGGCCCGAGGGGGCGGGGAGTGAGTGATGGCGAAATGGTTAAACTGGAAGGTCCCGGGAAGCTGGGACTCCGAGCAGCCTTGACTGAGTCTGGGGTCCTCATCCCAATGGATGCTCCCCCTGAAACTCTCCCAGGCACTGTTCCTCAGGTGACACTGGCCCTTTAAGGAAGGCAGAGGGGTAGAGAAGAGCCTTTAATCACTGCCACACGCACCCCGCCCCCCAGATAGGGGTTTTGGAGCAGAAAATTAATTTAAATCACTTTTTAATTAAAGATGCAAAGCTCTTCTGGGTGCGCCCCCCTCTCCCCTCCCCCTACTGCCCTCAGTTGACGCTTAGGGTGGGGGAGTCAGGGATCTAGGCCCCTCAGCTTCGCTTTGGGTCTGGAGGGGCATACTGAGGTCCCCAGGCCCAAGCTGATCCTGAAGACCTGAAGGGACTCCCGATCTCACTGTGATGGGGGTCGGGGGTGGGGGGAGTGGATGGAAGGAAGGAAGCAGTTGTATCTTAACTGGGTGGGGGTCTGGGTTGAGGCCAATTTGGGGGGCTGGGGGGCTCGGGGCGAGGTGAAAACAGAGTAGCAGAAAGAGAGGAAGAAGAAAAGGGGGTCAGATCGAGTCCCAGAGCGATGTGGAGAGAGGAGAGAGGAGGCGGAGGGAGTGAGGAGAGAGAGGCAGAGAGAGACACGCTCAGAGACAGAGACGGAGACCAGAGTTATGCCTCCCAACGCTCCGAGCTCGGCCCCCAAACACGGAGGGGGGGCTTGGACTCTTGAGCATAAATCTTTTTAATTAAAGAGAAGAGCAGGGGAAAATAGGAACGTCTGGGAGAGAAACTGATGTTAAAAGCCAGAGGCTAGAGGGGGGATGAGGGAGGAGGCTGGCTTTCTCACTCCCCCCCTGCCCCAGTGTGTCTCACCCAGACACACACACACACACACACACACACACACACACACACACACACACACCAGCCCAACTCTCTGGGGCCTCAAGCCTGCTCTGCAGAGCCGTCTCCCTTCAGTGGTCTTGGCTGGACCCTTGGACCCTTTGTCCCAGGCAGGGGAGGGTGCCGGTGGGTCCAGGCCTGGCCCCCGGCTGGCGGGTGCCCTGTGTTTGCTGGTTGTCTGCATCCGTGAGGTGCTGTGCGGGGCCCCAGTGTTCAGGTATCTGGAAGCCTCTTATCTGCTCTCGTGCCTTTCTCTCTGGATGTGTGTTTGGGTGTCCCTTCATGGCTCAAATGGTAAAGAATCTACCTGCAATGCGGGAGACCTGGGTTCAGTCCCTGGGTCGGGAAGATGCCCTGGAGGAGGGCATGGCAACCCACTCCAGTATTCTTGCCAGTCCATGGTGTCACAAAGAGTCGGACATGACTAAGCGACTAACACACACTCTGGATATGTGTGTCTGGACGTGTTTCTTCGTGTGTGTGTGTGTGTGTGTGTGTGTGTGTGTGTGTGTGTGTGTGCATCTCAGCAGAGGCACAGAC